TTTTTAACACTGTTCGTTCACGTGCAGAATAATTGTCCTCGAACGGATGATTTAGCTGATTTCAGCTCGAGAACTGCAGCACTTCAAACGATACCATAGCGAGGTGTCCTTCGGCTTTCGGTTCGATGCGCCCCGCAACGCTGTTGTACAGCGCAAACGCTTGCGTCCTACTCCGAAGTAACTCCAAGATGTCCACCGTCCAAGTTGGACTAATTTTGGGCACGTTGGATGTACAGTACATGTGACTTCCTCCTTGTGACCTTGTGACCTGCGAAAGATTACCACGAGAGAAAACCATGTCGTTGCACACCTCCCATACACGTCAGCATAAGGACAATCTCGTACGGGACGAGACGACTCTCACTGTCCTTGCATGTGTTGAGTTGGTACAGTGCGCGCAATAAACATAGATACACACAATTTTTGCTGGGTAGATTGCGAATCATGAATCAGGGAAGAACAAGAAACTGAAGATGTGTTGGTGGGGTCGCTTAGAATGCGTCAAGATTGATGTGGGAGTCTGACATGGGTTGCAGATCATCAAAATCACACAAACTTGTAATCTGACCTGAAAATGCTGCGAAATAATGATAAATACACTGTCAAAAATCAATCAATGAAGTTCATCGACCACAGTTTAGTAGTTAATCTTTTTGCCTTGCTTCAACAGGACTTCAGCACAGCGCTTTGGCATTGTTTCAACAAGTTTGTCAAGAGTTTCTTGCGTGATTTCATCCCATGCTTTGAGGATTTCCGATTTCAGGCTTTCCCGACTCGAAAACTGCCGCCTATTCGCGTAGACACGCCGCGCCATGATTAACCAAGGTTTTCTTTTCAATACGGTTTAGGTCAGGCGACAGAGCTGGCCACTGCAACAAAGCAATTGCGTGCTTCGAAAACCACTCCATAGTTTCCCACTGGTATGGATGTTGGCCTTGTCTTGCTGAAAGACAAAATCCAACCCATAATTAGCATGCGCAAATAGCAACATAAAGTCAGACAGAGTCGTAATGTACTCTGAGCTATCTTGCTTGCCTTCAAGAATGCGCAGCTCGGACTTGCCTTTGCTCGAAAAGGCACCCCAAATCATGACGGAGCCGCCTCCATTCTGACGTTTGGAGTACAGCTGCTCGTCGGTCCCCAGCTTGTGTGCCAATAGTACTGCCAACCATCAGGGCCATCGAGATTGAACTTTTTCTCATCAGAGAAAATAACTATAGTCCAATCTCGCTGGCCTGCAACTTGGTCTTGGGCAAATTTGATCCGCGCCTTTTCGTGTCGTGGGGTCAACTTGGGCGTGCTTTTTCGCTTCTTGTAAACGATGTCAGGATTGGCCTTGAGGAGTTGCTGAACACGGTGATGCTTGATAGGGAGAGATAGGGTCACTACGAGCTCGCGGCAGCTCGATTTTTCTTTTCCAGCCTCACGAAAGAGCAAGCGAAGCGACGTGCTGGAGAGGCGCGAAGGTCGTCCTGGCGATTTTGTCACTCCGTAGGCTTCTTGGTCTTTAAGAAAGCGTGCGATTACAGTGTGCGATCGACCCAGTTCCTTTGCAATTTTGCAATACGCCGTGAGCTGTATTTAGCTCGAGCAAAAGCCAAAATCTGGGCTCTTTCGACCTCGGTTAGGGTCGGCCCCTTGCCCACGATGTTTAGGAGAAAATTGCGATGTGAAGAGCAGTCAAGAGGTCTGCAATGCAACGAAGATTCTAGACTTGATTGTACAGCATGAATTCAGTAGCATTCGCCACTGGAAGTCGTCGATATTCATCATTGAAGGTGGTGTATCTATCATTTTTGCGCGGAAAAATTAGATTCGCTTCTGGAAAAGTCTTGATATCTCGTCAACTTCACGGCTAACAGCCCCCGACAGCATCCAACCGCCAACTGAAAATGATATCCGATAGCAAAGGTATACATTTGGGCAATACATCCTTCACTCCATTTTTTAATACAATCAAAGCGTATTATTTTCAACAAGTATTATCATATACAGGAATTTTGGACATCTATTCGTTCAAAGTTCGCTGGCTTCACTCTCGACATCATCATTGTCACTTTCAGCAGATGACTCTTCGTCCACGCTCATAGCATCAATTTGCATGAGATGGTCATACAACTCCTGCAACTTTCCTTGTGCAACTTTGACGCACCCCTTAATTGTTCCAGGTTGTAGTGCAGCAAAAGCGGCTTAAAGTCGAACCTTCACGTCCGTGAATTTTGTTTCGCTGTCGTAGCGGCGCCCGACTTCTCCCTTGACAATGGCCCACACCAACTCAATTGGTTGCAAATCCGAAATCACTGTTTGGCCGTGCTTCTTTGCCAAATCAACGATGACGGGATCGACATGTTGCTGGATATGTTGAGACAGCTTTTCCCACAGAACACTCTTGAAATCAGTATCCTGAAATTCGATCCCATACTGCACACAAGCTTCTTGCAATCGAGTCTTGCGCATACTACTCGTCGGGGTGTCAGAAGGGCGGCCTTTATGGTACTTCGCGTTATCCAAGACAATCAATGCGTTCGCCACATGAAGTTCGTCCAGCTCAATCAACAATTTGCGAAACCAGTCGACATAGTAATCATGATGGAACATCCCATGATAGTCCTTGGGCTCCTTGGATCGAGACTTGCCCCCGGTGAATATGTCAAGGCCGAGAACCTTACAGTCCATGTGTGGGGAGTCCAAAATACCAGCGATGAAGCAGTAGCGTTGTCCTTTGTGCTTGTCTTTCAGCACCTTGTCTAGACGATCCGACGGGTCAAAAAGACTGTCTCTGTGACTCTTGTAGTGATGGTGTATAAATGATTCGTCCGTGTACACGACAGGAGGAGCTGACGTGGAGTTGAGATGAGGGTGCATGAGCTGCACGTAAGCATCACGGAGAACAGCGTTCCTTTGGGAAAGCTGGTACGAAACAGAACCCTTCTTCTTGCCTCGTTTGTATCCATGTCGGACCAAGAAGCGTTGAACAGCACGGAGAGCGGACGCTTCATGTATCTTGTTTGTTATGTCGAAGTCCAACACAAACATTTCACGAAGGTAGACCATGACGTCGACTGCAGTGGTACGGGTGCGGTTGGCGCGTCTGTCCCTCACGAACTTTTGAATCATGGCAATCGTCTCTTTGTCATCAGGAACTCTGGTCGCATGGTTACTTCGATTCGACGCTGGAGTTGCAGCAGTCACTGTTCCAAACGTTTTGTATTCACGAAGGACAGCCTTCACCACATCATGGCTGCGGCCCAATGCTCTGGACACTCTCTGTGAAACCTCGTTGAATCCTTCCCCAACAAAGTACGCATGCAGTCGAAGGATGTCAAGCCGCTCTTCGCGAGTCAGTGTACGATGACGAGCCTTCTTAACGAAGTCGATGCATGCTTGAGCAGAGAGATTCATGTTGCTTGGGTTAATGTTGCAGTGGTTTCTAGAGCGCAAGCTAATTATATCTTTGTCGGCAGTATATCAATACACAAAAAATGCAGGATATCAAACGTGACAAAACCTCTATAAATTAATATCCAAAAATCGCTGTTTGTTTATAATGTCGCGCAGGTTACAAGGAGTAAGGGTTGATTTCGGTAGGGGTCGGATTGGTTTCTTGAAGCTAACTCAAAGGATATTGCGTTTTACAGGGATCGGATTCTGGAATTTGGTTTGTTGGTCAATTTCCTATAGACCATACAAAACAGCATAGAAAACGGATATCATTTGATCTATTTATCGAACTTGGGCGGTTCGATGCTGTCGGGGGCTGTAAATGTAATCAACTTAGGCTTTGACTCAACTTATTTCAAGGCTCTGATTGGTTGTAATTGCTTTAAAATGGACCAATTATCACTGAGTGTTGACCAGTTGTATGCGCGTATCTATCTTTATTGCGCGCACTGTATCAGCGTAGTTCACAGTGTGTGGTTTATGGGAATGCCGTATCTGGCATTCGTCGGTCGAGGGTATTCTCGAGGTGGGGCGCGGGCGCGAGTTCAACGCTGGACGTTGAGGTGGCTCAGCCCACGCCCGTATGGTAGCCAAATCGAGGACGAGCGACAACGTCAAACAGGCATCGTCCTGTCAGTAACCTCAAGGTAGAGTTCATTTTCGTGGTTTTGTCGACTTCGACTTTGTCGCTACTGGCGGGGTGGTCGAGAGACTGTATGCGCCGGGGCCGGGGGTGGTGCCTCGACCTTCCTGCAATCGTTTGCTTATCACACGGCTAAAATCGTCAGCGGGCGCTAACTTGACTGCAATCGGCTTGCGATACACCAAGGCGGTGGCCTTTTCCGGGTAAATATCCGTGGTGTCGACGGTGGCAGCTGGTACTTGCTTGGGCGCTGTCGATCCAAACGGAACGGGCTTGGGCCGCCAGTCGTCAAGGTCGCCTTCGTCGCACTGGTTGCTGTCATTCGGGGGGGCTTTTCGAGGAGGAACGACATCGTAGGCCCCAGGTCCGGGGGTAACTGAGACTTGAACGGTTCGGAACCTCTGTCCGACGCCAAATGCACGAAGAAGCCGCGTCTTGGCCGAATGTTCGAGCTGAATGGTTGTAGGGGTCGCCTGTTTCACCGGTTTCTCGGGTGGAGTATCGGGGGCGATAGGTGTCGGGGCCACGGCTGGCTTGGTTCGAAATCGAGGCGCGTGGCTAAACGTGGTCGAGACGCGCTTTGTGTGGGCTCGTTGCCATTCCAACAGCCCTGACGACGACGTCAAAGGTATTTCGCAGGCGTCTACAAACCTTGGATAGGTTTGGTCGGTCGTAACTTATGTCGTTTTTGTGGTGGATTGGCCGGTCGTGTGGATTGCAATTGCTTCGGCGGGGATCCCCCTTTGGTGCTGAGGTGCAGTTGGGTAGACGGCCCACAAGACCCACCTCCTGTGGTTTTGGCATTTTCAACGGTCGGTGTCGGTCGTTTCGTTATCTTGGTCGATGCCATGATTTGGAGAAATCGATCGACGTTGCTCGGCATTTTCAGCGCGTCGGTGGGCTCGGCCACGGTGAATGACCACTTCACGGCCTGTGGTTCGCTCCCTGCCTTGGAGGAAGGGCCGGTGGTTGGCACCGCGAGCGATTTTCGTTTTGCATGGAGTGACTTGAACATCCCGACGGCCTTCTTCGCTTTCACTAAGCTGGAGTCGCCGCCGTCGAATGCGCTGGTTGTGCGCAGCACCAACATTGTATGGTTCTCGGCCGCAGAGACAGATAGCGCGTGCAGGTGAAGGGCCGCCGCCCCGACCGGCATCTGGATTGTTTTGGACTCTAGCTGGACAGGTGTGGGCTGGCACCCCAACCCACTGGTCACTTTCAAGCCGAGCTGGCCCTTCGAATTGTCGCCCCAGCAATACATGTTATCGAGGGAATCCACGACGACGTTGTGCGTGCGGCCTGGAAACGACACTGTCATGCCTCGCGACGAACGACCTATCGGCAGCATGGCTCACCGGCAGTGACATAACGCGCTGTTATCGAAGGAGCCCCCGTTGCCTAGATCCAACGACGTGAGACCTAGCCATCGACAAGACGACGGCGGCCCCCTACCACAGCAAACACAACGTTGCGAGGAGTGGACGTGTCGGCGAGAGTTTCGCAGCCCAGTTGTCCGAGATCCCCCCGTCCCCATGCAAACACTTGGCCCGTTGTGTCTAGAACCACCGTGTGATGGAGCCCTACAGGACAAGTTTACACACCACCCACCAAGTGCCCCCGACATGTCGGCGGTTCAAATGGATGGTCAAAGCAGGGCACGCACCACAAGTTGCTTGTTTGATGGCGATCACGTTCGCGTTGTTGTGAAAGTATTCGACGCGTTTCGGCGCCCATTCGCTATCGCTGGTGGTATGTCCGAGTTGGCCGTATGAACCGTGGCCCCACGTGAAAAGCTACACCAGCACAACGTCGATTCATGGCACTCGATCTCTTGCGCGAGCACGGCAACCCACCTCCCCCGTCTGGCTGATGCAACAATTGTGTTCAGGACCTGCCACCATTTCCTAACATGGTCAATGAGTTCTTGGTCATATGTCCAACATAAAGTTCACAGCACGATTGCAGCGCACCCGAACGGGAACGAACGTGTCTCCACCGGCGGTGTGAAAAGTACTGATCAAGTTTGGCGTGGGGTGGTCGACATCAGTGCCAGCGCCGAGACGGCCATTGCTGCCGTCCCCAAACCCGAGCAACACTTGCCGCAGCACGTGCATGTGCTTGACTAGGACAAGGGTGTGGCGATCGCCACAACTCACGTCGCTAAAACACGTCTCGATTGGCGCTCCTGTCGTGGGTGACAGTGGCTCGGGCGGAAGGTGTTTCAGCGGAATCGACGACGGCCAAGTGCCCAGCGACACAGCCTTGTCTCTGCAGTTTGAAAAGCTCCAGTGAAGCTACGTCAAGTCCGACTACAGACGTGTCGAGCGATGGAATCGTTCGTTGGGATATACCTGCGTTGGTGTCGTCACGACCCCGCTGACTGGGATGCCTCCCAACCCGAGCCGACCGTAGGTGGCATCGCCAACCATGAACAGCGCCCCCACGTCCGAAACAAAGCCTCCATGCGCACTACCACACGATAACTTGACAATGCGAATGGATTGCAGCCCCGCGACCAAGGTTGGCCGCGCGACGGCTTCAGTGTTGCCGTGACCGAGTTGGCCACCTACACCGCGTTGGGCCGTTAGCCACCGTGGCGAGAGTCGTCGGCAGGACGCACCAGTGTTGTTGCCCCACGTGTACACGTGATGGTTCTTCATCAATGCAGCTCCCCATTCGATGCCACCGCTCAGTTTCATGACGCTCTGTCCGGACGGAAACAACGGCGTCAAGTCCACCGACGCGTGTTTTCCCGCGCCGGAAATGTACGGGCCGTCTCCAAGGAGAAACACTCGAAAGTGAAACAGCGCTTGTGCGTCGATCTTGGACGAGTCGCGTCGAGGTGGCTCGCCGGTCGGCGTCAAAGAATCCGTGGACATGTCCAGCGGCTTTTGGTACAATGTCGTCGCAGAATTGGATATCGACAGTTGGCGAAGCAGTTTGCCCGTAGACGGTTGGAGGTCGGACTTGGATGGCTGCGGAGACAGCATCGTCAAGTTGGACATTTTGAGGAGCGAGGTCGCAATGCCAGACTCGAGGAAAGGCTTCGGGTGGGCTCCGTTGGGTTTCAAACCGAGCATCGACGTCGACATACTGCGCCCCATGGACGACTTGCGGTGGACAAACTTTGCCGTGGGTTTGTCCGATGCGGACGCAATGTCATCGTCGTCGTCGGCAGCAACGTCGTTTTCAGGAACCGACGGCCGCCGTCTCAACATCGTAAATCAGTCCGTTTCATGATTCCGTTATATCTGGCACGTCCATGCAGGTCGTTTTCCTGCTCATTCGATTTGGCACGTGTGTGGCGCTAGATGGCACGCGACTAGCCTATGGACTTGTGCTTCCTACAAGCTTGAGGTTCCACTACAACGACATCAAGCCTTGTTGTGAAGGTGTACTCCTCCGGCTGGGTGCCATGGCTGACCAGAGGTGGCGTGCAAGAATTGAAGCTACCTGGGTGTTCAATTGATTTGGGGCTCCTGTTTGGCGCACCAATGCATCGGCGTTGGCTATTTGCCGTGTCGTGGCGCCTCATGCCAACAGCAGTCTACGTACGTGCATGTTTAACTTGCATGGAGCAGTTCATTGCTGTCCGAGAGCGATGGATCGCGATCGTTGTAGCGGGGATTCGGCGTGAGTCCTCCCTCTCCACCAGTCGAAGCCAGCTCGGACGACAAGGCCATCCTGGCATCATGACCTTTCGGGGCCGAGCATTTCTTCCAGTATAGCCAATCATGTACCATTATTCAAAAGTTTATATCCAATCACACACGGTATGCCTTCGCGAACGTTCTGGACAAGGCATGTCGGGTGCGACGGTCGACGCATTTTGCCATGTTTCGCGTGCGACTGGCTACGAAGGAGTACTGCGTGGCGCTACCTCCAAATGGCGACGCGACGGCCCGCTACGTAAAGCAGTACCTCGTGGACAACGACGAGGACCTGCAAGTGTCGCCAACGCAACTGCGACTCATGGTGAAAGGGAAGATTCTGGCGGATGGCGACATCTTGGACGCGTCGCAGACCGTAGCCGCGCCCGCTCTCGTGCATATTCTCCCATCACAGCATGAGATTGAAGCGATGCACGCTCGCGAGGCCGAGGCCAAACGCATCCACGACATCAGGTACCGCTTCACCTGTCCATGTGTGTAAATCCAAATTGTGGTTTGGCCAGGATGACTCGACATGTCGTCAACATCCAAGCGCGCAACGAGGAGCTCACGTCCCGAGCACATGCTAGCACGACGTACAAATTCCACGCGATCGAAGTAGGGCGGTCTCTTCGCAACTTGCGTCATGATGCTGGCGGTGGTGCTAGACTTTGCCAAACATGCCCAACGAAGCCACGGCTCGAAACATTCTGGAATCCCTGGCGACCGATCCTGGCATCTTGGCCGTCTTGGCGCAGCACAAGTGTGTTCATGTAGCATTTTTTGGCAAGGGTTGTCGATTGTGTTGAGGTAGATGGCACGTCGGCGCGCTGGTCGAGATGTTTCCTGACGGCAAAGTTGGAGTCGACCCGGTCTGTGTCCTAGGGCTCAATGAAAACAAAGGTATGCCCAGCCAGCTCGGGAGTGGTTACGTGTCGAGGACACATCCGACCGCGCAACCTCATGCTGGACGCGGTGACTAGGGCAGCGAATTCGACTGCGACTGCGCACGGACGACCTGCTCGGGTTTCGCAAGTTCCTCACGTACGTTGCCGCGCTTTGCGGTGGCCGTGCGGGAATTTATAGAGCAACTGGTGGCGATGAACTAGGATCAAGCAAGTCCTATTCCACGAGCTCAGCCACAATGTAACCATGCCAAAGCAACCAGCGAGACGTCAAAGCATGAATAGGATGTGAGCGACCACAACCCCGAGTTCTACCAACTCATGCGCCAAGTTGAAGCGGAATGCAACGCAATTCCCATGACCCGCACGACACCGCTTGTTCGCTCGGTTGTGCAGCAGCAGTCGTCTGTGGGCCATCGACTTGGTCTAGGACCATCGCCTCCCCTGCCTTCTTCAGGCAACCTCCCACAGCCACCCAACACCCTCCCATCGGCTGCACCTCGTCCCGAATTGCAAACGCCGCCTCACTCCCATGCACGTCCATCCCAACAGCCAGGGGTCGAGAAAGCCCCGTCATCGCCTGAGGCTGCCTTGCCACGAGCCGTCTTGGATGATGCTAGCCAGCCTAAAGACGGAAGCGCACGTCGAGACCACATCGCCGACGCTCGGTCCACCACACCAAAAGCCCCATCGACACCGCTTCCCTTGTCCATGGCTCCTCTGGTATGCAATATTTCCGCCCCACGGAGTGTTTTCACGTGTGCTTTGGCCGGATCGAAGCTGGGACACTTGATGGAGCTGAATGAGTGCGCGACGTAGGCCGAGTGGGACGACATGGCCTTAGCGATGGGAGGTGAGCGCGTGCAGCAGGTCCACACGGCGATCCATCAGTTGCGCACGGCTTTGTTGGCGACGGCATCTGCGCACCAGACTGTCGCGACGATGCAAACTCTGCTGGCCAATATCCTGTCGCATCCGTCGGACGCCAAGTACAAATCGTTTCGAAAGGACAACCCGCGTATCGCTCGGACGATTGGAAGCGTCGCGGCGGCGCACGATTTCCTGCAAAGCGTCGGGTTTGAGCAAGGTACGAGTGCTAGTGCTGTTTTCCTCTGCTCGCCACCACACCTCACGCCTTTGGTGGATTCAATGCTGAGCAGATGCGACGCACTGGACATTGCAGCGACATGACCCTGGGCTGCTCTGGCTGGGCAAAACCGCGCTCGAGACGTTGGTCATAGCTAGCGACGGCAGCAATTGAACCAAGCGGGGTCAACACTCCTGGAGATTCAACGTCGGCATGCTTTCGTACGTCGTCGCGGATTGCGAATGAGGCGGCCACGTGCCAGCACGACATGCTGCCGAGTCCTTCCCATCTGTCCTTTGTATCGCATCCGCGACGGCGAGGAGTGGCCCCATGGACGACTGAATTCACCTTCATCCAGACTAGAAACCGAGTGATGGGAGCATTCCACCAACTTTGTGACGCTGGCTCGCACACCACGGCAAGCATCAGCTGCCAGAACATGGTTGGTACGACAGATAACACCGCAGTTGCATTTTGCATTGAATCACGTCACGGACAACAGTCCGTTCAGATGATCTCGGACACGCGCGTCGGTCAGAGTGCATGCCGTGGCGTCGCACGCGTCCTGACCAAGCATCTTGTGGTGGAGATGGTGCAAGGCCGGGTGCAATGGGACACCGAGAGCCAAACACACATTTTGCAAGTAGCTCAAGTCGCATGCAAGTTGGGCGGCGCCCGACTTGCTAAAGCGCGGAATTTGAAACACTTGCCCGGCCAAGATCGCCATCGCCCCCGACGCAAACACCATCGTCCACCGGTCGACAAACGACTCCTGCGTCAAGTCGCTCAAGTCGCTTGGAATGTCGACCCGTAAGGCTGTGGCCACTTTGGCCCAAGCGGCGTGGCTCAGCAGATGGACATTGCGCGACGCTGCAACAGCGTGCGCTAGCCCGCTCGTCGCTGCAAACAGCTCCAACTGGGGCAGCAGCGACAGCAAAATGTCGGCCACCGCGGTCATATACTCTTGCGGGAGCGTATTGAAGGACGGCAAGGCGTCGGTGGCCTCGGGCTGGATCCAAATCTCGAGCGAAGGGAGTGGGCGCAACATCGCGTGGATTGGACCGAGCACGGAATCGCACAGCAACTCTTGCACCGTCGACGTCCACGTTGCAAAGACGTGTCCAAATAGCTAGTCGCAACGACAAAGGTAGGTCAGCTCACCACGCGGCTCTCGCAAGCCCACCGGTTTGAAAGTTAGCGAGTGCACGAGGCAAGTCAGGTCATGGTAACTTCCAGCGTCGTTGGCCCACCATTGCGCCATCACAGCCTTGGGCAACGTCGCTACCTCTCGGCACTCATCGAGCGACCATGCTGGCGGCGGGCCTTGGGTACCCTTTCAAAGCCACGATTCAGCAACCAACAAAGACGAACGCACGCAGCGTCGATATGTCTACACATGCATCATTCACACGCACCTCGCCCATCCATGCACTCAAACTGCCTTGCACGCGCGCGCCCCAACGCGTTTGGAAGGCTTCCGCCTGCGTCAAGAGAAGGCCGGTCGTTTTGACCAAATGGAGCGCGATGTGGAATGCTTCCCAATCCATGGCGTGGCTCGTCAAATTGCCCGACGTCCGTAGCAATTTCTGCTCCAAGTCGCGTTTCAACGCGACCAACGCCGCTTCAAACGCTTGAATCGTGGTCGTGATGGCGGCTACGGTCCCCGGCAACAACCCGCCATGCGCGAACGAGAACCCAAAACTCATGCGCGCCTCCGCTGCGCTCCACAGCAACGTGGCGGCTTCCTCCAGTTGGGCGGCAAAGTCGGCATCGACGACGGTCGGGACGACGTCGCGCAGCTGAGGAGCCAACACGTGGCGGGTTTCTGTCTCTGTGTACGACTTGAACAAGGGCCAGTACGGGGCAAATACCACACGGAGGATGGCGGGGGCCATGATGGAGCTGATCGAGTCGGATACGCCGCCATAGTTCGTCAGCAGCGTGTGCGCAAATTGGCACGACAGGGAAAACCACGGAGAGACCGTGTCCAGGTGTACAAAAGCACTCAGCGTACAGGGTTGCAGTGTTGCTTCGAGCAACGCCAGCCACACGTTCGGCGCGGCCTCGGGGCCAAAGACCTGCGAAATGGTGCGCCATTCACGGGCGAAAAACGCTTCGACATCGGCGTAGAAGTCGCCCAGATTCAGTGGCATCGGACCTGTCTGCATGGACAACCAGAGGCGATGGATGGGGGCCGGGCGAGCTGAGGCAAATCGCTGACGGACAACGTCCGGTCGTCCGAGGCAGTCAAAGATCGCGACGAATTCGCCGACTTTATCGACGTCGACACCGCGAGGTTGCTCGAGTTGCTCGACCAAGGCCGGCAACACCAAACTTTCCACTTGCCCCTGCAACCTACGACCATCACAAAACGTGATGTGAATTCCACAATGCCTCCACCATAGCATTCTCTCAACATGCAGAGACTATACAGTGCTGCATCAAGTTGGAGGACTCCATTTTGGAGCAACCCCCATTACGCCTCAACGACGACGAGAGATGCTCAAAACGAGGGATTCTTACCTGGTCATGGTAGCTTGGCGATCGGGAGCACCAGGCATCGGAGCCAAGATGCGCAGACTCTTGTTCAAGGCCGTGAGGTGCATGACAAGGGATGGCAGGAGTGTGGGCGAAACAGCAGCGGACGCCACGGAGTCGCTCACGATTTGGGCGACCAGGCGGCTGTGTTGAGTCCATGCCGCGCTTTCCTCGAGGGCGTGGATGCAAGCTTGCATATGCTGCTTGGCTTCGTGGAGGACGATGAGAGAGGGGTTGGCGACGGACGTCGACGTTGTGGGGGACGCTGAACCGACGACGACTTGAGTCGGTTTGTTATTGTACATGCGAATCACAAGACCTACCGTCGGTGCCGTCCGGGATGGGGCTGGTGGCATCCGCGACGTTCTGCAAGTTGAGGAGCAATCCTTGTGCCTTGATCGCCAACAGCTGCACATGGGTGTCGAATGATGGAAACGATTCCAATTGCTGTTGCAACGTCGCGCTCAATTCCTGCGATAGAACGTGCAGTTGCGGCAGTAGGCGCTCGCTCACCCCCGCGCTGTCGCTCTCCAAGGCACCTCCGCGGGTGTTCGCATCGACCCATGCGTACACGTCCGCAACGTCGTTGCCAAGTTCGACCACTGTCAACACCGCATCTTCCATGTTGGAGTGTTGACTCCATGCAGACATATCCGGATAACAAATATTCCGGATAATAGCCATTCGAGAGGGACGACCGACCACGGCCATGCCGCTGGAAGCCGCGATCGAGTAAACAACGCATTGCTGCTACCAGACGAGCTGTGAGGATGGTGATCGATGCGTCGATGAACAAATGTTCATGAGAGCGGCCTCTGGTCCGTGGCGCAAGGGTGTGGCCATCAAGCGTTGTTCGGCCGAGTCATGCGTTGCACCGAACCAGCACGGAAGAGCTACGGGCTACATGAAGATGCACGTTCTAGTGGTGCGTGCATGCGGATAAATTACATGCTGCATACAATTCACCGCACAATTTGATGGTGCCTCAAATACGTCGCGATCTCGGTGTGCCCGTTTGCTTGCGCCCGTTCCAGCCCAAATGCCGTCCCTCCTTCAGTTCGATGGGTGTGGAGGAATTTCACAACGTCGAAATGACCATTCATCGCGGCTCCGTCCATGGCGTGGGTCGTGCATCCTTGGGTGCAGTGGGCATGGAGAAATCTCACAATCGCGAGATGTCCATTCGACGCCGCTAAGTCAAATGCTTGTTGGCCACTGGTTCCTTGTCTTTCGTTTGCAAAGAGGAACTCGACCACGTCCAGGTAGCTACGGGATGGCATGAGTGCAGGGTGTCAGCGACGTGGGTACCCCAATTGAGCGGCACGCACTAACGTGTACGACGTGCACCCTTCCGATCGATTCGACTGCAAGAACGCGACAATCGCCATGTGCTTTTGTACCACAGCATTGTGCATGGCAAACACAGTGCACCCTTCGTCTCGGTTTTCGTGCAAAAATTGCACAACCTTCAAATGTCCTCTCTTGGCTGCGCCATTCATGGCCCACACCTAGGTGCAGGTAAGTATGTGACTCCAGCAAGTATAGTACGCACCGAGCACGTCGTGTCTGTGTTGTGATGGAGCCACTGAAGCATCTCCAAGTGTCCATTGCATGCGGCAGCGTCCATTCCAGCGCCTGTGACGACTTGGCTGCACCGCCGAGAGTGACACAGCTGTACAAGTTCGAGCTGCCCCTGCGAGACCGCAAAGTCCAGTGCGCTCAGCGATGTGACTGCTCCAGTATAGGACGTTTGGATGTATGTGTACAGCTCGAGCGGGACGCCCGAGCTGAACGCGGTAATGAGGCGCACCAAGTTGAAATCTGTGAGCACGTTGGCAACGGATGGCATCCATGCAGACGTGGTAAGTGGCCGCTGGTCCATCGCACTTGTCGGCAGCAAGTTGACGAGTGTGGCGACAGAAGCACTGCGCCGCGGTGTGCAGTCGGCAACTGCGATGCGGGTGCAACCGTTGAAAACGCTGAATTCGAACCCTTGGGTATTTGGCACCCGGTGCTACAAATTGCATCCGAAACCGCAGACGGCGCGGACGTTTCGGCAGCGGCCGCGGTCGTGCTGTGGAGCGCTTGCTGCGCGTCGAAGACGAATCGCTGGTGAAACTTGATGGGGAGTTCACATGACATGGTTCTCCACACTCGTCCGCGTTTCGTTTCAAACACGGAAGGTTGCATCTCGAAGCAGACGTAGACATTCCTCAAGGCCTGACACTCCATTCAGGCAACATTGTCGCTTTCGTTCGCATACCGAGATGCAGGGTCGAGCGCAATGACAGAGGGGCAGCTCGATTCGTTCGACGACGGACGGACGAGGACCATCGAGGGCGTCGGTATCGTCGCTGCGCTGGATCCATATGTGGTATGGAATCTCTTGATTTCAGTATAGCATTCAAACCTGCAAAAAAAACTTAACGAGGAATTTGGTCGCTCACGTAGCTACAGCACCGCATCGGGGTGCACCCTCCAAGATATGTCGATCGGTCCAGCTCCTGCAAGCACCGCGACATTCAACTCGACACACACACACACCTCGTGCCACCGAAGTCTCGACATCTCGCCTTCGCCAACTCCACCTTTTCCTTGGGAACAGAGGCTGGTTTGAAACTTCTGGACCAGATGGCCGCAATCTCATCTGCGTGCAGTGACAGGCTGAGCAAAGAAAACGCCAACGCATGTCCATTTCGTCAGTGTTTGCCATAGATTCAGTGCACAAAGCAGATCACGTCCGCATCCAGCCGCGGCGCGACGTGACGCCGTCCACCACGCCGCGCCGTCGACGCCGCTCATCACGTGTGTCGAGGGTTGTCATGAAGATTCGGTAACTTTTCATTGAAAATTCACCAACTTTTCGAAAATATGGATGCAATGTCTCAAATTTGGACCAATCACAACGCTGCATTCCACGACCATGTAAAAAACGTAAGGGCCAGGCTATGTTTCGATAAAGTGTGGTATACTATCTTCAAATGATTCTCATAAGTACGATTTCACGCCCACAGCACACAAGTGACGACGACCTCATGGCGACAGCGGCGGCGGCGACGGCAAAGAAGCCATCCTTCCCGCTCCCTGCGGGGTATTTCAAGTGCCCTCCTCTATCGCAGCAAGAGTTTGCGCACCTCATGGCACTCGGAAAAGAGTCTTCTCGCGCTTTCATCCAACAGACGGAGAACCTGAGAGACTACACGTGGCAGGAACTCGGTAAGAAATCCCAAATCACACTGTACAAGGGCACCAAGACGTCCGCGCCCTCGGCACCCTTCCTTGTCTTGCGTGCAGTGGGTGACGTGGCGGGCACGCTGGAAGAAGTCGCGTCGATGCATCAACTCAGCAATGCAGACACCCTCCAGCAATTCCTCGAAGAAAGCGACGACATCCTGGACCTCCACACCCTCTACGACATCACGGCGGATACCCGAGCGATGTCGTCGAGGTACCTTACGTCAACGCTGCAAGTAGCGGTGCGATGGATGGCGATGAAAGTTCCAACGGCCGCGACCGCGTTTATGCATCCCCGAGACTTTTGCTACCTGGAGACGCAGGATTACTTCACCGATGCAAAGGGACGGCGAGGATGGGCCATCTCGATGGATTCCATGGCGATGGATGCGTGTTGTCCAGCATTTGGCGGCAACGTCACCAACATCGTGCGCGGGAAGGTGCAATCGTCGGGTTACTCGTTCGTCGAGAGCGAGACCCAAGGTACTTTCTTCAAACTCCAACATGCTTCCACCGACAACATGACGCAGGCATGCTACATGCGTCCCACTGGTTCCAGGTCGACTATCACGGCAAGATCCCCGTGTGGATTCAAAACCTCATCCTGAAGGGCCGCGTGCATCGCATGATTCACTTCAACACGCGCATGCACGAGCATCGACTCAAGAAAGTTGATCTCCTCGCCGAATTCGACGTCCGCCGGACAAGTCAGTCGCATCGGACCAATTGCTTCATCTGCCGCAAGAAGTTTCGGCTCCTCTCGCGCAAAATCACGTGCCGAAAATGCGGCGAAGTATGTGTCGTCGATTCCTCGTCCCCTTCTTGGCTCTCGTTGTGTCATCGAGTAGTTGTCGATTGTGTATTCACCAACGTGTGCCAGGCACGCATTCACCATCGCTGAAAACATGTAGGTGGTGTGCTCCAACTGCCAGCACACATGGGACATTGTCCGCAACGATAAGAAGCGCAAGGTGTCGATTTGCAATATGTGCACGTCGTCCCTGCGCGCGCCACTGCATCAACTCACGCCTTCGTCCGAAGGGTCCCTATCGACGTCGGCGCCGCCCCCGCATTCGTTTCTCGCGGCGGACGTGACCCATCTTCGCATGCCCCGCCTCGCCCGCCATTACTCGTACGACGAATTCATGCACACGCGTCCGGGTCTGCGCAAGCTCAAGTCCAACTCGGTCGACTTTACCAACTCGGGCAGCGACTACAACGTCGAGGACGACCCTGGGTACACGACAGGAGTCGCCGTCGACCTCGACACTCTCCTAGACTCGCCCAGGGTGCCCGGCGTCATCGACGCGCGATGGGGCGATATCGAGACTGCCGTCGAAGAAGAGTGCGTCGACTACAAGCCGAATCTGTTTCGAAAAGGTGCGTCCAGGGCATGCTGTGGCTTGCTGGATGTTGTCTTGATGGTCCGTGGTAGGGTTTTGCATGAATTGCCAAAAGCAGCACGACGCGTCGGACGACGGGTCGATCCGGCAAACGAAAACATTCAAGAAGATTCACTTAACACCGTCGGCGCATGCCGCGAACGCCGAATTCAACCCGATGGCGTTGCCCGAGAATTCAGAATTGTCGGCAGAACTGCGCAAGTCCCGCGCCGACTCGATGGACTCGGTCGTGAGTTTGCGCAGCCGACTCAACTCGGAAGACATGCTGGACGATCATTTTCTCAAAACCCATGGGGTCCACTCGATGATGAAGGACCTCATGGCCGAATACGGCACGGACTCGGCCGCGAGCTTGAATCCTCAAGTTCTGGAAGCCAAGTTGCTCGGCCTCCAGGCGCAACTCGAGCAACTTCAGCTGGACAAGGCGCGGTTCAAGAAGGACTCGGTCATTCGCGTGTAGGCCCGTCGTCGACCGACGGCGTGTGTGGCGTTTATTTAACTACCCAAATATCAACAGCGTCGAACAAACATGGGCCACAGGCGAGTTTCGTCCATGCGGAGGTACATGGCCTCTCGATGTCCCGGGCGCTTTCTCTGTCTGCTTTCCACACTGCTGGAGCCAGGCGTACGGAATAGGGGCTCGCCAGGAGAAAGCCCAAGCAGGTCGAGTGGACTCGCCCTGCACACACATACAAGTCCTGATGGGGCTGGCTCAGCGCATGCGCCTCGGACCACGACGCTGGATGGACAGCGGTGGAAATTTTGAACGCCCGCAGTTTCAACGGCGGTCCACTGCGCGGTGGCCGGCAGCAACGGTCGGCGCTACCGCGTGAACGTTAGCGTTTGGAACATTCGCGTGGGGACGCCGAGAGAGATGGCCGTGTTCACTTTTCGTTGCAACATGTCTTCGCCACGTCGGCATTCGAGGCAGCCTAGCCACGGCACGGCGAGCCTTCTGTCGCCCATGGAGCTCAAGGCGTCGCTGTCGATTCAAGTGCCATGCGCGACGCATGTGGCCATCGACGCGCGATGGGGCTGCGACGAAACCCCGACCGAGCAAGTGTGCCGCGACTACAAACCCAACGTGTTTCGGAAAGGTCTGCACCATTGCACGTTGTCCCAACAGGACGTCAGTTGTCCGCGTAGGGTTCTGCATGAACTGCCAAAAGCGCCACGACGTTTCGAGCGACGGCCATGTGGCTGCGTCGAAAACGTTTGTCAAGATTCACTCGCCGACAACGTCTCCGCACGCCGCGCGGGCCGAGCTCAATCCACTTGCGCAGCACTCGGAGCTGTCCGTGGCCCTGACCCTGGCCCGCGAGGAAGCGCTTGGGCGGCTTCACGACCGCCTGCAAGCCGCCGACGCACTCGGAGGCATCGCGGCGCAATTGGCGACCCTTCGACACGAAGTCGAGACCGTGCCCAACTCGAATGCGCTCGAGTCGAAATTACAAGAGCTCGAAGTGCTGGTGGGCAAAGCCGCTCCGTCGCCCCTTCAATAGCACGGCCATAATCCCATGCGACTATTTATGCCGTCCGACTTGAGCTGTCGTGAGCAGGGAGCGCAGATCAAGTCTGCCCCTGACTTCGTTCGGGCTGTCGTCGGTATTGCTGTCGTTGTAAAGCACCCACTGTGTCCTCCTTTCTCGGGCATCTGCCAAGTCTGGATGGGACAGCCGGGTGCACATTGTACTTGGATGGGTACACGCGCGGCGACATCGCCGGCGACAGTTTGCCATACATGGCCCTATCTTTCTCGCACCCAGCGGTATCTACTGGATCTACTGGAGCACCCTCGTGGCCGAGAAGAGTCATGCCCATCCGCTCGTGGTTGCCGCGTTGTCCAGCATAGCTAAGGGTTTTGCCTCAACAGCCGAGACATCCTGCACGCTTACGAACGTCGCACGGCTCGAGCGGCCACAGGCAATCCATGGCATGAATTAAAGACAACTCGAGGCAGAGACGAAGACGACCCACTTGATATCCAGACGTGTGCACGTCTGCAGTCGTCTTTAGCAAAGCGCCACGGTAGCGCGTGCTCACGGCGACGTTAGCTGCGGCGCAGTTGAGACTCACGTCTGGATGTGCTCACGAATATTCCTAAATAAGTACAGCGCGGTGCGCCGGCGACGCTATCTGCACAAGCGCGGACGAGCGCGGCGCGGATTCAAGCCTCTCGTGTCATCGAATGGTCTTCGTCAGGACAAGCAAATGGAAAGCCATCACGCATTGCCGCTCCCGACGACGCCGACCAGTGGCCACACTGACACGAACGAATGGCTCCGGCTTGCAACACTATCGCCCCTACCCCTTCGGATCATGAATCGGGTGGCTCACGTCGCACCTGATTCCCAACGCGGGCGACATGTTTGCAGGACGACCGCTCGATGTTCGTTGCCGAGCGGCCGACGCCCGGCGGCGAATTGCATCCCTATCCAAGCTGCGTGTGCTGCACGAGTCGTGAGCTACAGTGTGGCCCAACGTCTGGTTCGGTCGGTAGCTTGGTTGCCTTTGGCCGCACCGACATGTCGCTGATCTGCTGGAGACATGTGTGTTACAGCTTCACTCCGACCAGCAGCCACCCCCGGCTCAGCAGCAGCCGTGTCCACGTTGCAAGTGCCATGCCGCCCCGTTTGGCTGTACAACACGCCGCTAGAGTGGCACGACCATGTTGGACTGGTCCAGGGCCCCCGCCCGCAGCCGATGGAGGCTGGACCGTGCGCCACGTCGTCCTGCGATAGTTGCTTGCGAGTTGCAGCACCGTCGCCGCCGCCGTCGTCGTTGTTCGGTATCCATGTCAGCTACCACGTTATTCTCGTAGTACGGTCGTCGACCTGATTCCGAGACATCCGATGTGTCGTGAGCATGCTGGCTTGAGAGTTGTGGGCAAGTGTCGATGGTGCTATATCCAAGCAGCGGCGCGTCGACGATGGACGTGCGCCGCACCACAGCATTGTCCGCAAGCAAGTCGCCCGGGTTGGTGCTGTACACACCGATGCACCCACCAGTGCCCCACCACTCGAGCAGTCGGTCGATATCGACGACGTGGGACACGACCGACGACTACGGACGGCGAGGTGGCGGCGTGCCGTACTCGTTGCAGGTGGACACGGGTAGTTCTGTCGACGACTCGATGATCCTGAAAGACGACTACATCGTCGATACGATCCTCGAGGAAGGCGCGCTTGTTCCTGGCGGCGCACTCCACTTGTGGTCGATGGAAGCGTGTGCGCTGTACGCCCAGTACGCGTCGATCGGGATCGTGTACGGGATGCTGCCCCAACTCGCGTACCCCGTGTATGCAGTGTATCTGCGCCTCGAAGGATACCAAGTGAGTTCGTACAGCATCTTGGTCAACATGGCGTGGTCGCTAAAGATCTTTTTCGGCATGGCCTCCGACTGCATTCCGATCGGGGGCTACCGCCGCAAGCCATGGATGGTCCTGGGGTGGTTGATCTGCTTTGGCAATTGCCTCTTCATGGCGCTATATCCATTCAGTCGCCCGTATTGCGACCCCCCCGCGACCGACCTGGTCGCGGTCGCGCAATGCCAGAATCGGTCCTACCCACCGAACGCTCCGTTCCTCAACAAGGGCGCGCACTCAAACTTGTACACGTTCATCGTACCGTCGATGCTGGCGAGCGTAGGCTACGTCATGTCTGCCTGCGCGAGCGACGCCATGGTCGTGCAGTACGCCCAGCGGGAGCCCGCCGCGACGCGTGGGCGCACCCAGACGGCCATTTACGTTGTCCGCACCATGGCGACGATCGTGTCGCAGCTCGTGGTGGGGTTTTGCCTCAATGGCCGCGAGTACGGCGGCGAGTTTTCGTTTTCGCTCCCGATGAACGTCATCTACGCCTTCTTGTGCATCCCGTGCGTCCTGGTCACGATCGTCACTGTATTTGGCATCCACGAGCACCAAACCGAGCGCGTGCCGTTCGCCAAGTACATGGGCGGGTTGTGGTCATTGCTCCAGAAGCAAGCACTGTGGCAAATCATGGCGTTTCGATTCCTCAGCAACATGTTTCAAGGGTTCAGTTCGACGGCGATCCCGACCATGTCGTCCGAATGGGTCCAGCTCTGGCCGATCGTGGATTCCGTCTCGACAGCGTTCGGGTCGGTCATTTTTGCCAGCATCATGACCGTCGTCGGCAAATACGGCCTCCAGTGGAATTGGCGGTGGACGATTGCGCTCTCAACGCTCGGCCTCGTCTCGCTCGACAGCGTCGTGTACATGGCGACGATCTGGGACGTGTACCGGAACCAGTGGTTCTTCACGGGCGTCGTCTTGGCCGACAACATCCCGACGGGCGTCCGGTTCATCGTGAGCATCTTTTGCGCCGTCGAGATTGCCGACCTCGGCATCGAAGGCACCGTGTACGGCCTCGTAACGACTGTCAACAACCTCGCGACGCCCGTCGCGGGCGTGTTGTACAAATGGATCGACGCGTACTTCAAGGTCACGTCGGACGACATCAAGACGGACACGACCGAGATTCGGTGGCATGTGACGTACACGTTCTTGATTGCGTATGCGATGAAAGTGCTGTCGCTCGGGTGGCTCTTCTTGCTGCCGCCGCAAAAGGCCCACCTCCAGCGCCTCAAAAAGTACGGCCACAAGAGCCCGGTCGCGGGCGCCGCCGCCGTCGTCCTCTTTCTCGCGTTCCTCGTTTTCTCGATCACGACCAACTTGATGTCGATCATTTCGTCCACAAGGTGCTATCGCATCGCGGGCGGCAAAGGATGCGATCAACACGTCACGGACCGGTGTGTGTGCTGACGAGGTCGTGGTGGTGGCCTGTCGTGTGTTCGTCGTGTAGCTGCTGTCGTTGTTGCCATGAACGTAGTCGGTGTCTTCATGGCGGAGTGGTTGGTCTTTCTTTCCGACGTCAAGCAGGAGCGATGCAGGCATACCGCGTCGAGCTGTGGCGCGGCTGCTTTTCTGCCTGTGGCCCCTGTCCTGAATGGAATGGGCTGTGTATGCGTGTGCTCGACAGCTTGTCCTTCTCTCGACCTGCCAGCAACTGCGCAAGGAATGGCGACGAGATAGCCAAACGTCCATTTCTCACGAGTGCCATCCCGCCGCCGTCGTGGACGCGATGGGGCATGGGTCGTTCGGCGTTTACCACTGCCCGACACGTGGATCGTTCACTGGCGACCACCCGTCGCATCTTGAGCAATAGAACCTACTGCCCGTTGGTCGTAGTTTAGTCGCACTAGCATACGGTTGTATTCAAGGGCTTACATATGAAGCACGGGGCGGCAGAGGACATGCACAGACCTGTTGAGCAGCATCGCAGCCTGGGCAATGGGCAGCTCGACGGCGTGGGGGCTGATGGAATGATGCATGAAGGAGGATGGCACACCAGAGCCTTCAGGGTCGCAGCGATCGACCTCGAACGTTCAACGATGTCTCGAGCCATCCATCCGTTCGTACTGGGTATGGGAGATGGGCCAGCCGTGATCTGTTGTAGTCACAACGATTCACTCGAGCCAAGCGAAATGTTTGGGTTTTGTCGCACCTGCGCTTTACCACACGCGCCATGTCGAACGACAAGTGTAGCTGAGCGCCACCGCGGGCACGCGAGAGACGATGGTGATAGGAGGCCTGACGGCATCGAAAATGCCTGGAAATAATGAAGTCGTTGAAAGTTGCATGTGGCAGCGCCCCTGTGGCAGTCGGTAGCCAGGTATACATTCCCACCAGGGCCTCGTAGCCCCATTCCTCCCTTGCTAAGTTGCATGACCCGACCGCATGACGACTGCAGCGCCTAACCTTGTAGCGCGACATCGAAACACACTCTCGTCACTGGACAGTATATTCATGCAACAAACATCATCGTAGCGCCTCGTTTGGACGAAAGCCCATTGCGCTCTACGATGCGTCCAGCTGGTTGTTGGTATGGCCTGCATCGGGCAGGACGCGCACGACTTGGCCTATGCCTTTGGCCTGGCCGTCGCGAAAGACAAAGCGCATCCCGGGCTTGAGGAACTCTGCAAAGTGCAAAAACGTAAACTGAATCACGGCGCGGTCCCCTGTGCGGATCGTGCGTTGTTCAATGCTCCTGTCCAAACTGTGACGTCGTGGCCAATATTGTACAGACGTACGCATCGGTCCCGAGGATGGCCGTGATGGCGGCCGTCTGGCGGATCGTGCGGCAGTTGATCATGGGCTGGTACCCCACCGTGATCGTCGTTTGGTGGTGCAAAATCATCACCTTCGCTTCGAATCTACGAGCGTGAAAACTTTCAACAAGAGGGACGAGCGACCACGCGTGCCTCGCTACCTGCGCGACACAAACGGCTTGTCGTCGGCTGTCACGTTGACCAGGACCATCCCCTTTCGAAAGTTTGCCCGGTTCAGCACCTGCTTCTTGTTCAAGCTGCGAATGCCGAGGGCAGTCGTCTGGCCAGCCACGACTTCCTTTAGCGGCATGTACATCGACTCGATCGACCGCACGACCACCTACGACCCGAGCCGTCAGCAGCGCCGTTCTCGACGTCAAGGACGTAGCGACCTTGTGGAAGTGGCCATTGTGATCGGGACCGATTTTAACCGTGTCGTTCGTTTTGATGGTCCCGCTGACAATGGTGCCGGCAATGACAAAGCCCGCGCCTGGAACCTGGTACGTGTCGTCAATGGGCATTTCCACCGACAGTCCATGGTCGGGTTGTTTCTCTGGACCGGCAATCGGCGTGGCGAATGCGCCAACTTCATCGCTGCTTTCGTCGTGACTGGTAAAGGACTGCGCCGATCGCACGAGTGCATCCACGTCGACGCATTGGAGCAAGTGGCGGAGGTTGGCCAGCCCGTCGCCCGTGACGTTTGAGAGTGGCAGGATTGGCGTTAATCGGTTCGAGGGCAAGCCTTTGGCAGCGTTCACGGCTTCATCCAACGACTTGACCAGCATGCCCATCTTGCCATCTACGACAATATTGGTCGGGCCACATGCGACGGTGGCCGACGGCTGCAACATACATTGACGAAGGCACTTGCGAATGGTCTGCAGCGTGTCACGGGCGACCGACTTGGGGGCAATGTCTATCTTGGTCAATGCAATCACGACTGGAATTTCAAGCTAGAATCGCAGGCTGAGAAGAGGTCGCGGGAGTCCATACGTGGCGATAAGTTTGAACGAACCGACATGGTAATGCCCAAATGCTCCAACGTCATTTTCTTTACGCCCATATTCGCGCCCACCACGACGACAACAATGTCGGGCTGCATTCCGGTCAGCCCATACACCGTTGTCTTCAAGTACCGTTCGTGTCCTACGCCAGCGATCACAAGTCGTCGAGACACAGCACTGGCGAAGCTTGCCTGCCAAGTCGATGAGTTGAATTTTCTTGTGCGAATGCTTGGCGAGCTCGGACCACGGCAAAATTTTGCCGCTTCGTTTCGCGACAATTTGCTCGCCTTGCGCGTCAAAGCCCATGTATGCCGTCGCGATGCTCGATGTCCGCCCAGAGTCCAGTTCATGTTTGTGACGAAAGATCGCTTGGCGGGACAGACCACGACCGTCGTCCAACTCGCCTCGTATCTGCGTCCCTGCCGATTCAGCCAACATGCGTGAGGGTGAAGCGTCGGAGGTGACCATACCGATCAAACTCGACTTGCCGCTGTCGACGTTGCCAACAAATGCAATGCGCAACGTGCGCACGCCGTTGTTGTCAAGCTCTGGCTTGACACCGTCGGGTATGGTGGTCCCTGGCGCTGCTGTGGTCGCCAACGTGGTGGTCGCAGCGCTCATGCTCATGGGTTCGTTGCCCCCACCGCCAATATGATAGTTGGGATGCGCCACAAAACGTCGTGTCGCTTGGGCGTCGCCGTTTCATTGGCTGGATACATTCATTTATGCAGGAAGTATCACATTCAAGAGGATTCGGGCGAAAAAAGCCAGGAAGCCACCTACACTCACAAAGGGTCTCATGGATCTCGAGCGAGAATTCGCCGAGTGTTGCCGGCCGCTAGAACGTGCCGAGGCCATGATCCAGCCACCCTGGCGTGTGTGTTGGGAGGGCACGATGCATGGGGCAAAGATACGACCGCCATGGCGTTGCAGGTGCATGAAGTGGAGCGGTCAAAGGCCATTGGTCGACGAAAGGTCGTTTGTTCATAATGTACGACGTGGCCATTTACAAGACAGTGCGGAGTTCCAAGCTCTTCAACATATCTTCTTCCTCGTCCGTGTACATGCCAACCAACGGCGATGCTCGACCGACGTCCGAGAACAGGTCTTCCACCACACAAAGACTCGATTGAATGTCCAGCGCCGCGGACCCGAGTTCGCTCTGCAGTCGGGCGAGCAGCGGCGGCAGCAGTTGACGAATCTCGGCGCTCGAGAGCCGCGAGAGGACGACTACATGCGACACGATTCATCGTGGAATTTCCAAACCGAATCGAGGTCGTACATTCTCGAATGTCTTTAGCTTGAGTGTCGCTGCGATTGCACTGAATCTGCATTCCAAAAACGAAAGACATGAGGCGAGACCACCATGCTGACGGCGCCAACCGACCTTTTCGCGCAAGTAGGCTTCGATCTCGGGCACGAGTGTGTCATTTACAGGAAACATCTCGTCCTAGCACACGCATCAGGTCACGCCAAAGGATGGATACACCTACCTCGAGCAAGTTTTGGCTAGAAGTGGGGTCTGCGTCGTCCTGTTTTGCCGACGCCGTCAATCCATGCCACGTTCAGTGGATGCTTCAGTCAGAAATATACCTCACGGACATCGTTTAGTGCGCCTATGTCGAGGGATGCTCGCCGAATTTGGTGAAACAGTTCCAGCGAAACAGGTGGGCCAGAGCTGCGCCTCGCGCTCGTGGAGGAGCTCGCAGGCAGTAGATTCTGGGATTCTTTGTGGTGTCTGGCCGATTTGAAGCCTTTGTCGTCGACCGACCGTTGGATCTCGTTGAGGTTCAGTAAGGCCATGGATGTGCCCAACGCAGCGTTGGTCGACGTCCTTTCGACCTAATTGAGACTGGTGGAGTACTGGAACATGTCAGCAGTGACAACGTACGCTTTGGTTGGGGGACTCTGTGGCAGATGCACCGAGGTCACTGCCACCACCGTCGCGAGCCTGCTATGTGTTAGCCGTTTATCGAGCAGGAGGAAGAGTACCTTCATGTCCGCCTCCGCCGAGGAAACCAAAGCACTGGCAGGGTCTTCGTTGGGCTCGGCCATTGTACGACGATGCACACGATTTCACGTACTAGCGAAACTACGGTCAAAAATAGCTCATGATGCTGGGCAAAGTTGAATCCAAGCCATTCGCATTGCACTGTTTGCGGGAATGCATGAGCAAAGCTACATTGCTTGCACAACCTTCGTGCTAAGCCTGGATCGTGGCCAACGGCAAGGACTTTCACTTTTGGCTCCCTATTCACTGGCGTCGGAAACGTGTGCCACAGCCTCACATCGAGGCCTTGCACTGTGTCGTGCCACAAGCTGGCCGCGCACTCGAAATACACGCAATGCCGCGCGCGGGCTGCACGTTGTGGAGCTCCTGTGCGGTCACGGACACTAGGGCAAGACTAGGGTATGCCGGTGTAGTGTTGAACGAGTCCGCTTCGTACCACCGACTCGACCAGAGTCAGCCACCAAATGGACCAGCGCAACCAAACGTTGATAAAGATAAGTTTGTCCTATGGGAATTCTACCACCGCGATCAAGGGCATGCCGGCAAGCAAACCTCGACCTCTCCTGTGGCAACTACCTTTTCCATCATCCGCAACATCGCGGTCCGTCAACATGTGGCTTGTCCATTGCTCCGTCCAAGGTTGAGCTGCAATTCAACCCCCATGGCCTTGCTGCGGGGTGCGTTCGTTACCCTGCGATCGTCGGGTGTAAGAGTCCTAGGACAATCTCAACGAAGCACCCACCAGCATGCTCAGAGCCTCCGAGGCGCGTTTGCCCTTCCGTCTGTTGAGTCCGTGCTCTCTGGCGTTGCCCATCTCGACTGGCCTCATGCAGCTCCTGTCCTGTGATGGTGTGGGCGATTTTGCTTTTGCGACAGGGTTGGCGTCAGTGCTCTCCAAGGTGAGTGCAGCCCAAGCGACGTGCACGCATGTTGTTCTGTACACCAAGGATTGCATTGTCGGTTTGACGCACTTGGCTATCGACGCTGTATTGGTCGCCGGCGTGTTTCGCGCCATGAAGCAATTGCCACATTGATTCTCCAGCTTGGCATGGCTGGTGCGGTCGTTTCCCTAAACTTGTAACACGCCAACGACCTCAATGAAGACCCGACGTCGACTTTGAGCAAGCGTCTGTAGAATCCTTTGAGGCTGGAGCACGCTGCAGAGCGAGAAAACACCGGCATGGCATACCGTGAACGTAGGACCCACTGGTTCTCCGCCCGGGAGGCCTGCGAAGTTGTCTCAGGCAGGTAATCCGCCGCTTGCCCGTAACTCACATATCTCTCTACTCACTGAATGTGACGGATCTGTAGATATCGTCACGGCGACGGCGAGCTGTTCCTCTGCGCCTCGAAGCATGCCATCGAGCTGCCCCATATTTTTGCCACAATTGAACTCGAAAAAAGTTGAATTCATTAAAAAATGCTCTTTCAAATGAAGCACCTTATCTTGAATTTTTCTCAACAAAAGAAATTGGCCGGATAGCTTAACCGGCACTTGACGCCACACCATCAACAAACACGATGGCCGACAGCGACGTCACCCAGCGAGTAAATCTCTCGTGCGCTTCAATCTTGGACACAGCATTCACATGCGTGAGTATGTCGCCGCATGTCCTTCATGTCTATGTATGTCTTGAGGACTCACGGGAGCCTCGTAGCCGCTGGACATCAATCACGGACGTTTTACCGAACTGGAGCGTTTGACTCATGCGACGGACGGTGGTCCGATCTTTGGCGGTGCTTCCGCGCCAACCAAATGGATGCTGAAAAAGCTACGGAGTATCTGAAGGACACGAACTTGGACCCCACGAAGAAGCAACACGCTGCGTCGGTGTGGAACCTCAAGACCACCCCAGGCTGGTAGACGTTGCATCTTTGTGTTAATTGCGGTCGTCGATCGCCCCAACTTGTTTAATTGCATGGCCATGTCTTTCTGCTTGCAGGTTTATATTGCTCCAGGTTTATAGCTCCAGCTCGTGAAACGAGCTCCATCGGTCCCTTATCAGCGCCGTCTACCAAGTCAAAGCTTGGTCGTACTTTATACACACAGGCCAGAGGCGTACGCGCATCTCCAACTCCCTTATCCTGATAAGCTGAGTGGATGTGCTCCTCGAGTTTGTGTGTTTGGAGGTGTCGTTGTTGGTACACACAGTTGGCCTCTCGTCATGCGCACGAACTGCGCAATCCGCGAACGTCTTGCTCATAGGAACAAGAGCAACCGTTCACATACACTGCGGTATACATGCGATGCATGCAGAGCATGTAGAGCATGTAAGCACGAGCAACTGGCGGCGGCTTTCCACAGCGCTGCATGATCGTGTCATGGCATGTGTGGCCATGCAATTCGTAGCTGCGCGAATAAAACCTCTCCAATTCGATGTTCCCCTTATCCACACTAGTCACCGGTATATTTTGACCAACTGACACTTTGAACTCGGAGTAACACTGGATCAACATGGGCTCAAATCGTCACGACATGGGATTCAATCTAGGCAAAACCTCTGAAATATGATAAGTCGCCGATTTTTGGTGGACCAATCAGCATGTAACAACTAGCCTCCCATTCTGACCCCTCCCGACTTCATCAGCATGGCGCAGCCAGGTAGGTGCTTGATGGAAGTCCAGGCAAGGTTGACGTGCCCTGATGCGATGAACGGCGTAGGAAGCTTTCCTAGAGGACCTCCTTCGCATCCAGGTACCGTCAAATTAGCGTGACCACCGTGCTGATGCGATTGTTGTAGGTGGCCCAGGCTTTACTCGTAAGTGCAATCGAATCTCTCTGTCCATAGATCCCGATGGCGATGATGGCTTGATGGAGCTGATGCGATCGCTGCGTAGAACAACCCCCACGTGGTATTGGTGGCGGGCCGTACGGCCCTCCTTCTGCTGGTCGAGGTGATGTGCACGCAAATGTTCCGCAGCATACACAAGGTGGCGGTGCTTCACACGGGAGCGCCTTCCCTCCGCAGCAGCATCAGCCACCACTGTCGACAGGAGGTGGACATTTTCAGCCACAACAACCTCCCTTTCAAGCGCAGCAGCCTCCACGATCCAATGGGGGCTTCCCTTCCCAAGGTCCACCGTTCAACCACGGACCACCAGGACAAATCTCCCGTGGCGCGCCTACTCCGCCAGGTAGCTATGGCGGACCTCCGTCATTCCCACCGCGTGGTGTTCCGCCACCTCCTCCAGGTCCCCAACAAGGAGGCTACACCACACCGCCACCTCCGCAAGCATTTCCTCCCCAAGGAGGGCCACCACCTGCAGGTACGGCCCAAACCTATCTCATTCTGTTCCAACGTTCCTGTATTAGGCTTTGCCCAGCCTCCCAACGCACCATTCCCTGGCTCGAGCAATTTAAATCAGGGCGGTCCGATGCCTGGCTTCCGTGGACCACCACCACCTCTCCAAAACGCTGCCAATGTGCCGCCTTTTCAACAGCACCATCCTCCTTACCAGGGAGCTCCTGGTTACGTTAGCCAGCCTCCGCCACACATGCTTCCTCCTGGACCGAATGCTGGCAACCACGCTCCTCCGAACCAGGCACCCGTCTTCACCCCTGGCCCGCCTTTTCACCAAAACAACCCCGCGCAGCCGGTGCAACCGAAACCAGCCGCGCCTGCGACAACACAACAGCGTATCGACCCAACTCAAATTCCTCGCCCGCTTAGTCGGCCCGATGCTGTCACGTATGTGGCAAAAGGGCCGACGCTGACGATGCCTCCGCCGGCCAATTCCAAGTACATTTGCATCGACGACGGGTGTGCGAACCCTCGGTTCATTCGACCATCGCTCAACCACGTTCCCGAGTCGAGAGATCTGCTCCACAATTCAGGCTTGCCGTTGGGTGCAGTGGTCTGCCCGCTGGCGAAGCTCCAGCCGGGTGAACTGGCCGTCCCTCTGGTGGATTTTGGTGCGACCGGGCCGTTGCGCTGCACCCGGTGCAAAGCATACGTGAACTGCTTCACCAAGTTCATTCAAGGCGGGCGCATGTTTGCATGTAACATTTGCACGATGCAGAACGAAACCCCTCGCGACTATTATTGCGCCGTCGACCAGCTTGGAAAGCGCCGCGACGTCCAAGAGCGCATGGAGCTGGCCCGCGGATCCGTCGAGTTTCTCGTCCCGTCCGTGTACTCGGTCCGTCCGGCCCAAGAAGTGATTGTGGTGTTTTGCCTCGACGTATCGGTCTTTGCGTTTCAGAGCAACCTAGTGGCGTCCGTCATAGCCTCGCTTCCCGCCGTGCTCGAAACCCTTCAGCAAACGTCCCCCCATGCCAAGTTTGGCCTCATGACGTTTGACTCGGCTGTGCACTATTACCGCCTCGACCAGGACCAGATCAGCATGGTTGTGTGTCCCGACGTCGACGACCCCGCGGCTCCCGTCCCAGCACAAGCATGGCTGCTGCCCGTCCAAGCTCCAGATGCCCTGGACAAGATCCAGGAATTGCAGGACTTGATTCTCTCGTTGTTTGGGACGGCGGCCAAGAATCAATCGGTCAGCGGGGCGGCTGTCACGAGCGCTGTGGACAGCCTCCTCACTTCTGGAGGTATGAAGGAGGCAGTCGGCGGCAACAATTTGTTTGAATATGTGCACGATAGGTCGCATCTGCCTCTTCCACGCCGGCCCGCCTCGCTCCGGTGTGGGTAAAATCACGAAAGAAGAAGCAGCGTCGTCGTACGGCACGACCAAGGAAGTGGAGCTGTACGCTGGCCGCGGCGTGCACGCGCACTACGAAGAACTCGCGCGGTTGAGCGCCAAGTCGTTCATCTCGATCGACATTGTGAGCGCCGCCAACCCATACAGCGACTTGGCCGAGTTTGTTGCTCTGACTGCATCGTCGAGTGGTTGACAACGTGCTCGATAGAGTCGCGCGGCTGGCGGAACTCACGGGCGGGTATGTGCTCCACTTGCCGCAGTTCGACAAGGACAAGCCAGAGCACTTTCAGTATACGACCAAGCTCTTGACGCACGTCCTTCGGAAGGACAAGGGCATGGAAGCCGTGCTCAAGATCCGCGTCTCGACCGGCCTGCGCGTCGACTCGATCTATGGCAGCTACATGCCGTCCGGAGCAAGTGACGACGAAGTCAACATTGCCCTCTTGGACCAAGACACGGCCGTCGGTGTCACATTTCTCTACGATGGCAAGCTCCCGGACGAGCACATGTACATTCAAGTAGCACTGCTGTACACGCGCCCCGACGGTGTCCGTTGTGTCCGCGTGCATAACTTGGCACTTCCGGTACGATGCAACTACACGTCGGGAAATGATGATGTGTGTGATGTGGTCGAGTTGGGCTCCAGTTGGTGTTGCGTTGTGCCAGCTCTTGATCGGGCATGGCGTGTGCCAGCGCCGAGTTGCCGGGGGCAGACCGCACTTGCTGACGCGTCGTCGATCTCATGTCCGTTGTTTGTTTGAAGGTGGCCAACTTGGTGACGAACGTCTTCCGCCATGCTGATCTGGACGCCACGTGTGCGCTGTGGCAGCGCATGGCAGTCAAGGTCATCCGCGACAAGTCCATCATGAGGTATGCTGGCCGCTCCACTGGTCGAATCGAGCGTCAACAACGACCGTGTGTCCAGCGGCAATGGTCAAGCGGTCAAGGAAAAGCTCGTCGACGACTGCGTCCAAGTCCTATCCAACTACCGCAAGCATTGCGCGACCAACAGTTCGTCGGGGCAACTGATCCTGCCTGAATCGCTCAAGTTGCTGCCGTTGTACACACTCGCGTCCCTCAAGTCCCGCGCGCTGCGAAACAACTTGACGGGCCAGCAAGCGCGGGGCGTCATTGATGTCCGTGCGGACGAGCGCGTGATGCTGCTGCACCACCTGAACTCGTTCCCGGTCGAACATGCCGTGTCTGCCGTGTACCCCAAGATGTACGCATTGCACGATTTGACGGAGGAGGTAGGCGCAGAAGTGGACGGCGGCTGGAGCTCTCGATGATTCATGCTCGTCTAGATCGGCACGGTGGACGAGAAAGGCGAGGTCATGTTGCCGGTCGCGCTGCCACCGACCGCCGAGAAACTGGACGAAAACGGCTTGTTTTTGCTCCACTCGTCGACCTACTTGTACTTGTTTATCGGGGCCAAGACCAATCCGACGCTGTTGGAGGAAGTGTTTGGCGCATCGCACATTGACACGTCGGAGCAGGTGCGTGGGATGGTTCTCTCCACGGTGCGGCGGTTGTGAACGATCCATGTAGTCGGTCAACTTGGTCGGCGACGCGGATGGAACGGGCGTGCTCCGCACGCAGATCCAGGCGGTGGTGTCGCACTTGCAGCTGCAGTCGCCCGTGCCGGCGCCGCTCGAGATCATGACCAAGAGCGACTGGCGCAGCAATCGTTTCCTCAGCGCCCTCGTCGAGGACCGGACGCGGAACGAAGTGTCGTACGTTGAGTTTCTGTGTCAAGTGCACAAGAAGATCCAGTACAAAATGATGTAGTTGGCATCACCGCATCAATAAAAAACCCACCGTGCGCTTCGTCTGTGGTGGGCTTTGCACGTTGTTGAGTCGTTGGAAGCGACTGGGTTGCGGCGACATGCTCCTCCCGTCCTCCCTGCCATCCATCGCACGAGTGCATGGGTCGCCGAATCGACGTGTTTCAGCGACGAGGACGTACATGGCATTCGCATTGGTACACATGCGCCCGGATCATCCCGTCCTGCCTCTCGGTTGGTTCTGACTCGCATGGCGGGTTTGTCTTGGTCCAAGCTCCCCTCGTCGCGGCTGCGGATGAACAATGGATTGGGTGCTTTCTCTGGAGCTACACCGCGAGTCGTGGCTCACGACCGCCATCTGAACGAAGTTCCCTCGCAGCAGACCTGGGTCGGCCTTTTCACGGTCCCATCTTGGCACATCAATGAGAGTTTATCGTCGGGATGCATGTCTCGGGTCGTTTGCCTGCAGAACCCAAGCATGTCCGGCTGGCTGGGGAAAGCCCTTTGAAAGACACTACGTTCATGGCGCCATAACGTGGTCAGGCATCCTGGTTGTGTTTCATCTGCACCAGACAGGTTGACGGGCAGCGTCGGTCGGCTAACGCTCGTTGTGTTGTTGCTGGACTCGCTGAGATGACGCCGTCATTGTGACGAATGAGCCCCTCGTTTCGGAGCGTCGGGATGTCCATGCCAGGATGATCGCCACTTGCTTGGCGCATCATCCCCTGTATCATCACGATGGCAGTCCAAACACGCAGTGCGTTCCTGCGCAACTCCATCGCGACCTGTCGAAACACCACGACACTGGGGTGCCTTCCTACGATTCGCGCGTCAAGTTGGTATTCCCTTCACCTACTCCACCTTCTCACCGTCGTACATCTTTGATAGGACTCAACGCACGGATGGTTGCTCGGCCCATGAAGAAACGTGTGTGCTCCCTTGCTCGTCGGCTTGGCACTCGCATGAGCGTACCTGTGGACGCCGTGGGGGTGCTTCTTCTCGCATGGAGCGGAGCTGGACCTCTCTCCCACTTCTGGTTTCGCTCGTCCTGGATCACCAGGACAGAGTGAATCGCTCACGCGACTGTCCGTGACCGCGTTCCAAAGTGTTTGACCGATTGAAGACACCAAATCTACGTCCATGGGATGCCTTGCAACGTCGCCGACGACAGGTTGTAAAAGACTCGCGCTAGACATAATTGTCCCCAAGTAGCTCCATCGCGATGGCATGTCCACAACGTGTTTGTACCGGGCTTTGACCAGCGACATGGGGCGGCCCATGTGCTCATGGACGACTCACCCCATAGGCACGGCGGGTCGATCCATTCCACCAGGTGCTGACCACCCACGCAGGAGGTGACGTCGAGGTACCTCCACGACCATGGACAAGACGTTGCAACCACTGCCGTTTGGCCAACACGATGTCCATCGGCTCATGCGATATCAACCCACGTCCGTGGCTATTGCTATCTTGGGCTCTCTCAATGCGAACCAAAGGAGGATGTGAATGTTCAACCAGTATTGGCTGGGTGGAGTTGAATTTGAGTGCTCTCACACCGCGGACTGCCGTTGGTGGTGCCGCCGACGTCGTGGCGTTCTGGCACACGATCGGCATCACGTCGTT